GAGTTGCACAGAGCGTTACCGGTGCATGCATTCTTGGAATTTGTGTCTTACACACGTACGCGCCACGGAGCACGAATTCTTCACCTTGATAACATTATTGCTTTGCTTTTATTTTGTATTTGCTCATACTTTACGAGATTATCGTTTTTATGAGCTAGCCGTACTGTGTTGTTTTTGGTAACTAATATTTTAGAAAAAGCTAGATTTGGTACTAAGCTCTCATAAATTGCATAGTGCAAACGGCCCGGGTTCAATCCCCGCGGGCATCAGTGAAATTATTGAGAGTTTTAAGAGCCAACTTTACTACGTTCTCTGTGGAGGAGGCAATGGAGGTGAACATCGTGTGGAAACATGTCAGAGAAATTTAAAAAGATCTTTACAACACTGCGCGACGCACTAATTGCTACATAACTCTCTCAGAAACGAGAGGACTTTTACTTTTAAGAGATTCTAATTAATGAATAAAGTTAATTTAAATTATAATTAGTTTTCGAACTAAAAACTAAAGGTAATAATTGTCGCGTAAAAGTAAAACTTCTCTTCATGAAATAGAATAAAAATACGCATATATTATGTATCTATTAAATAGATATTAATGCAATTAAAGTTCATTAAATAGCTAAGTGATGTATAGGATTCGCATCTGGTGCAAGTCAGTTCGAGGCCGCATTTAGTGGCGCACGAAGGCCAAGGCCTCATTCGCACTGTTAAACCAAAACAAAGTGTTCAGAGGTTTTTTAAATTATTTTTAGACTTAAATCACTTTATCATGCTTTTTATTTTACACCGTTAAAATTAAAATCCCAGAACGTTTTAAGATAATTGGATCATAACAAAATTTATGTGGGACGACAACTATTAAGATATACTCCTCACAAGTTTTTTCTCTTCTCTTTTCTACAACTCTTTACAGTTTACAAATAGTAGAAGTGAAAGTAATTTTTTTACATTCTTTTATTTTTCATAATATTTTTTGTCTTTTAAAAAATACAATAATTTGTTAAAAGACAAGAAAAGTCGAATAGTGGCTTTATTTAAACCTACAACCTTTTGAGTTCGCATTTCACACTATATTCTATCTCACTCTCTCACAGGCTAAATCCTATGGATGTATATGTTTGTCTCTTTTTACTTACTACATTCTAAAGAAGTTTTCAATTCAAACAGAATGTTAATCTCTTCATTATGATTATTGGTTATAAATAAGTAATTGAACGAATTATCCCTTATTAAATCGAGTGAAATATATAAGTGTTGGTAGATACATCTTCGTTTCACCACTTTGTTAAGTAAGTCAGTGAAATCGAAAAATGTGTGTACTTTTAACGTGGTTATGTGAGATCTAGTGCTCTCATGGCAGTGACGATGGATAAAGTGGACGCTGGTACAGCGCCTGTACCGCCTCCAAGGGTCAAAAAGTTGGCTCGTTTGGCGGAACGCAAGGATCGCGAGCGGCGATCGGTCACATGGGTAATTATGTGTCCTATTCATATATCGTTCTATATTATTACAAAACTCGGGAATATTTTTACCTATGCTTATAAGATTTTACTTATAAATTAATTTAAGTTAACTGTTAACTACTTAACAAAATCATAATATAGATATTAAAATTTATTGAGTACATTTGAAATATTCTTAATCGTAAAACTAAGTATTTCACGCATAATATGACACAATCGTTCACACAGTCTGCAGAGTGTGATAATGTTATATTATCAAAAAGAAAAAAATTAAAAATTAAAACGAAATTTAATATAAAATAGTTTCTTAGGTGTATATTAAAAGGTTACTTTTGGCTGGGCTGATGTTTGTTGTTTGTACAAGCTTTATGACTAGCAATATACTTTAACTTTGACTGAATTTGGTTATTGTGTAGTGAAATGGTGGAGTGACTTAGGCTTATGATGCACATGATCATCATCATCGTCGGCTTTTAAGGAAAAACGAGTAAACGAAAGCTAAGGCAAGCAATATAATTTAATGGACTAGCCGCCTAGAGCTGGTAGCAGCGGACACTACAAGTAACCATATGGTGGAGGTTGGTAACTAAATGTGCGCCTCTAATCTACGACGAGACCTCTATGACTTCAAGGATACGGATGCATTTCATTATTCCACATAATGCAGTATATTATTTACAGTAGGGCGTCAATAATCCGAATACACAACGTTTATACCCTGTTTGGATTTATGAGGCGTTCGGATTTAAGTACGTAGATATTTTTATAAACTAGCCCCCCCCTAAAATACCGGTATAATATCCTAGGTTATGGGGCTGATGACCTCTGTAAATATTTTCCATGTAATATGTTTTTCGATAATGATTATAATTATTTTAAAAGTTTTTTTTTTAAATCTAACAGATTTTATAATCGAAAATAAATACAAATTTAAATCAATATGTATTAATTGTAAAAAATGAATCTATCTCCCTCAATTTACGCAATATTTTTTTTTGAACTTGAAATATCTAGATACTTGAGCGGGGTGGTTGTTCGGATTGTAGAGGTGTTCGAATTATCGGGGTTCGAATTATATACACATATATATTTGTTATTATGATTTCCATTCTATTTAACGCTAATTAACTTAAAGGTGCTGATATTACATCTTGTGAACAGATTTGCGTTACCACATCCTTGTCAGCAAGTAATTATCAAGTCACATTATTGCACTACCTTTCCACACGGTAAAATAAAAATCATAAAATGCAATTTTATAGTTACGTTTGTCGTTGCTAAGGATAAAATAGAATATTCCTATGATTATTATAATAAAGTACGGATATAAATAAAAAACACAAGTTAGGTAGCAAAAAATCTTTCATTACGGCGCTTCGTTTTACAACGCCAAATTCTCCTGCGGGTGTACACCGCACGCGGCGACCTTGATGTCGCGGTAGCGCCTTTGACAAGATGCGGCCGTACCTAAGCGAACAGGCTATACTTTGTACACGTCAACTAAAAGTGGTACGGAAAGGTCAATCACTTTATCCTTTAACACTCATAGTATTATTGTAAAATGGTGTTGAAGAAAAATAAATACTAAAAATCGATATTGCATCATAACTTGTGTAACTAAGTGTAAGAACTGTGTAATATTGCAACAAAGAAAGTTTTGCTGGAAACATTAATCACACATCTCTTATGGTTGTTCATTCGCTTAACATCAAAACACATACTATTTTAACAGTTTTTTTATTTCACAAAAGTCCGAAATGAAGCCTAGATCACCCCTGGCATTACTCTTTATCTATTCGTGAAATTTAATCACAGTCGGTTCAGAAATTTTGAAGATTAGCCGGGCAGACAGTTTTTTTTTAAAACAAAGTTTTTAAAAATGGTTATTCATGTCTTAATACCACACAAATATACCTTTGAGCAAAAAGGCAATTATTTCTATATAACACCTTAATTTAATATATATGTAGTATATAGATAACACGTATGATTGACGGTTAAAGCCGATTAATATTGAGGGTCACAGAGGATTAATTATACGTTTTTAATCTGTTTTGTTAGTGGTTGCCATTATTCAGAGTTGCGCGTTGTCATACATACAAAGGTTCACGAACAAGCGAACAAAACTGCTTGATGAGCACACAAAAGAGTTGAAGCACGTATACAGGGTATATGTATAAACATATGTGATGCTCGCTTTCAATAATGAATAGATTGAAATCCGTAAATAAGGCGTGAGAACATTTTCAGGTGTTCCGTGCTTAATTTTGCACGATAAAAACATTTTAGCTTCGTTAAAGCAGCAAACAGTGTGAATAGTCGCGCATTGAGATAGTTACATGTGAATATGAGCATCAAACGACTTACTGTTATATGATATACTTCCGCTTTTATTCATTTTAATATCAAAATAATATTTTTTATAGGATAATAAATGTGAAATAAACGAAACGGGAAATAGAGTAAATGGGGCCCTGCACTCTATTGTGAAGAGTCAAAATGTGTCAAAAAAGGCACGTATGGCAATTCACAATGCTGTCTCGGTCCCTACTTTAACGTATGGTAGTGAAAGTTGGGTGTGGCAGAAGAAGCACGAGAGTAGAATCAACGCAGTAGAAATGCGGTCCTTAAGGAGTATGTTAGGGCTGAATCTGAACGACAGGGTAAGAAATTGTGTAATAAGAGAAGAGTGTGGTTTGCAAGATGATGTTGTGACCTGGATTAAGAAAGGAATGCTTCGGTGGTTTGGTCATGTGGAAAGAATGAATGAGGAAAGAGTGACAAAGAAAATTTATGTTGCAGAAGTGAATGGCAGAGTCGGAAAGGGACGTCCTAGGCGAAAATTTATCGACCAAATTGGCGATTTATTGAAAACGGGCCAAATTAGGAGTACCCTTAACCGACGAGCATGTATGCGTAGGTGTATGGATGTGAAGGAGGCGAGAGAGGTGTGTCAGGATCGTGCCAAATGGAAGTCTGTAGTCTCTGCCTACCTCTGGGTGACAGGCGTGAGTGTTTATGTATGTATGTAATAAATGTGACAAATGAGCACAGTCCACGTGATGGCCGGTGGATGCTACGGCCCATAGACATCGACATCTATCTTCGATTAAGAGTAAAAATGCAAATGTGTTGTCATCCCTGAATTATGATGGAATGCCCCGTTTCCAGTAAAAAGGGTCTCTGATTTTCAACACTCGCCATACGAAACACAGCAGCATTAAGCTGACATTTTACTCTGGTATTCTGTGAGAGCGTGGTCCTTCCTCGGTCGATCTGAAGATCCATTCATGCTACAACCATAATATAGGTGCAGCATGTTCCTACCATATATGAAAATTGTTTTAATTCCTTTGTTGATTTTTTTCGGTTTACTTATTAAGAGTGAGTAGTTTCACTCAGATATAATTGTTGACGAAGAACCTTTTCCTTTTAATATAATAAAACCTTAATATACTATATTTAAGGTATTATCACAATACTGCTAAAATATACTTTTAAGCAACCTCTTTCAAACATTTTATTTTTATTTGGCAGGGTCCTGAAACATGGGTAGGTGTGAGGGCTCTACGCGCCAGTTCTGGCGGCATTCTGGATCCAGACGACCGCGTGTGCGATGTGGCGGATGACCGAGAAACACTGACGGCTGAATGCACGAGCCAGACACCGCAGCCAAGAGCGGCGCAAGCCGATGGTGCCAGCGGCTCTTCGGCTGGCACCGCTTCACCGGATATGTTCCGAGTATGTTATATTTGATTGAAGATTTTTAATAGTTTGATTTCTGATTTTTAACAGTTAGATTATTTCATCGGAAGACTGCATTTTTACTTTGGGCACGGAATCCACCAAACACCGTGTCACAATGTAGTAATGGTGTTAGAAAATCCACCACCCCATATCATCCCGTGGGTGACGTAAGAGGCGACAGAGGTAAACAAATCAAGACATAGACAGCAGCATCTCCTTAAAAAAAAAACTAAAAAAAAATTACTGCAATTGCCAAGACGCCTGCCAATCGCGGTAACTATAGCAAAAAGGATGGAATCCCCCTCAGAGGATACCCATGCCTCCCCGGCTTATGTGTAGCAGTGGACTTTTAATAGTTATTAATTTTTTCATAATGTTTTATGGATAATTATTCATAATTATCCATAAAACGATTATTATTATATTATTCGATTCAATTATTATAATATTATAGCTATCCATATTATAATAATAAGCGAACCTCCTGAGAGCCGTAACAGAGAAGCAAACTAAATGTCCTTCTCCTGACTAAGGAGGTGACCAACATATGGGGTGGTCTACCGACCGAAGTTATTCCTGTAGTCGTTTCTGCAAACGGGCTAACGAATAGTCTGAGGCGACTGGGACTCCGTGACGGACCGCTCCAGGCTCAAATGCAGAAGACGGTGCTCCTCGATACCGCCCGCATCGTCTGCCGGTTGTTTCCCTTTTCCCCTAACCCCTAATTTCATACTTAAATAAATACCTTACATACATTATTATACTTTAAAATATTTAAACATACCACTATAGAACTACCCATACAGAGATACACTTGCATAATAAATATTAAAAGTACAAAAATAAACGTACTTAATTACGTAGTAGTATAATAAGTCTATGTACTCAATAAATAATTTTAAATTATGACGACACAGATAGCAATGACAGATAATGGGTGCGTTTGGCAGAAAAAAGCGCTAGCAAGCGCTTGTAAGCAAAATGGCGATCGTAAGCGGTAAGCGCTATCAAATCGAAAGTAGCTATTTTCCTCTAGGACACGATGTTAGTTTTAACCGGGGAACCTAACCTAATTTAAATATATGTTTGTAAAGTATTCATATTAAAAACTTACCAATCATGAATTTTTAATAACATGTATATGTCTATTCATGTCATTATATTACTTAAAACTAATATTGCAAAAAACAACTTATAAACTCTACTTCAAAACATACAATTACATAAGCAAAATGGCGGATTGTGTCAGCGCTACTGAAGTAGCAATCGTGTCCTGGCCGAAAGCTATTTTAGCGCTTGTAAGCGCTTGCTAGCGCTTTTTTCTGCCAAACGCACCCAATGTTCAGTTTTGAAAGATGGCAGCCTAGATTATCATAATATGTTGACAGGAGTTTGCATGCCCGATTCGAATAGGAATTGAAGGAGGGTTGCCGTGAATGAGTTGCCGTAATAAACTGTAAAATAAATAGGAATCCTTAATTCAAGGGTTGCGCAGGAGTGCAAGAACCGGGGATTGGAGAGTTAGAGAAACTCAAAACGTGATTTTAAGTAAATTGTGATGGAAGGAATAAAAGGATGCTATAGAGGAGAAGAAGTGTGTCTGTATCGAAGGTGATCATGTTGCGAAGACCAAATATGGAACGGATTCAATAATCGTATTAATACATTCGTACATGTCTTCTGCATAAGCTTATCAAGTATTTTTTTGTTTATTGAGTTTTAATAAATTAGGCCAGCAGTTTTTGTAATGAATAAATTTACTAAAGAAGTGGCAAAGTAACCGAATTTTAAATTGAATTATCTGTACTATTTTATTTATGATATTCTTTATTTTCTATTGCATATTCCAGTTTTATTAATTTTATCAGTTCCGACTGAGAAAATTGTAGTTCGGACAACTCGTGTCGCAACCATTTTTCATTAATGTTTGTGAACTACGGAAAATTTACTAAGCTAGATACATTCTCTGTTTTTAACCGATTTAAAAAATGACGAAGCTTACAATTCGAATATAAGTACGTGTTTTGTATTATGTTACTCGATAGTGAACCAATTTTGATGATTTAAATAGGTTTACTTAAGGTGTGGTCTATATAAAATTAAAAAAAACACCTATAGGTGGCAAAATATGGGTGAAAGTTTTAATGTAACTCTAGACTATTTATGAAGATTGTGACTTAGTCCACTCAAAAGGTTTTAAAAACTTTTACCAAAAAGTAAAAGCCGTTGAAAGTTAAATTTTGTAATAGTTAAAAGTTACCATGGGAAGCCACAGCTTAGGCTTTATCATGAATATGCCTCTGCCTTCATTCGTTACTGAAATTGTTATAATTAAATAAACAACTTTGAACTAAAATACCTGATGTTATGGCTGAATGACTTGTAGCATTAGCCTTACAAAGAGAAAAATAAATTATTATTACCGCGAAAAGCTATTATTGTCAGCTTGCCATAAGAAAAGTTTACAAGTCACAACTTGTCGCATGTTTTGAAAGAAAGATTTTGTTGTATTTTTTCGTTCAATCATTTCATGACATGTTTTCAAGACGTGAACAAATTCGGTTTTCTGTCGGCTGTTATTTTGACATGGGCTCATGCTTCTCGAATTCTTGTTGCCGGAACTCATCAGGGAAGGTAATATATTATGTATTATATTTTTTTGCAAACTTAATATTCGCGCATTAACTTTCTGTACCTCTGTGTTCTCACTTCAGTGTATAATGTCTAGAGTTCTCCGTATGCATTTTTTATTTGCATAGGTACATGGTATTGAATAAATGAAAAAAAAAAACCTATTCCTTTAAAACCAGTTTGCTTGTAGTGCTCCACAGCTGAACAAAATATCCAACACCCAGTCACACAGCGTGGGCGGCGGGTGGCGATCACTGCAAATCCTCCAATGCAATGGAATAAGCCCATGTCTAGTAGCTATACACACAGCCACTGCTCGACATGGGCTGATTGTGGACTGATAAAAATAATAGAGATAATATTAAGGTAGTAGTAATAATATATTATTATTTATTACACAGTAAATAGGTATTTGCCAAATTTAATATTGAAATAACTTTTATGGAACTTAATGTTCTTACAATTCTTCGATATTCAATTGGTAATTGTAATTGGTATTCGTGAACGGAATGAGCATAGCTTAACTTGTGTAGCCAGATTTCGTAAAGATTGCGGTAGGCATTAGATATTGTGGGGACACGCTATCTTCATATTAAATCAGTTGAATAAAGTTATGACGAGTGTGTTCAGTGAATTTTGAGTTTCGAAAATAAATCATAAAAGAAAATACGTTATAGCTTTTTGCTGTGTGTGTTTTTATATGACGAATAATTATTTTCTAATATAATTTTGCATATGCGGAAATGGTAAAAAGATCCAGAAGTATTTTATTATTTATTCTGAAGTTCCTTCCCAAAAAACATTAAAATACTAAACCTAGTATATTGATGTTTTAGGATTAGATAGAAACAAGCTTTAAGGCATGTTTGGTTATCGACAAGTCAACCTCGCCTAAAAGACGTTATGAAAAATGATTATAAAAAATGATTCTTAACGTTTTTTATTCCTGACGTTTCAAGCGTTTTCTAATACAAATGGTCGTAGGGGAAACGCCATAGGGTTCGAAATGCCGAATATGAAAAAATAAAATCCATTACATTACTTTTATTCAATCATTACACAAATACAATCCAATCAATTACAAATCTACTGCTGAACGTAGTCCTTTCATGGGCAATCCATGGGTTGCCTTATTTTGAGCTGCTATTAGGAACATCCTGCTGCCCACATCTTTTTTTGTTCACAAGAAAAAGTATGATATTATTATAATTTTATGAAGTACATTTCACACATGGGCAGTATGAAGTCAACACACACTATTAATATTAGGGATAGCGATTTTTTACAAAAAAGATCGATTCGAATCAAAATCAATTCACAAATAAATCGTATATAAGTATATACCTATAAGTAAGTAAGTAAGAAAGTAATAATTTTTAATTAAAGAAAAAAAGAAAATTTTCTATGACGTTTAGAATTTGATAATTATGTTGAATATAGTGGGTTCCGATGATTAAAAGTACAAAGTTGAATGAATGTAAACGTTTTAAGGTGCGTGCGTGCGTGTGTTTTATTTTTAATTAATGATTTGCAGTGGTTCTGTAGTATTTTTAAAGGAAAATAAAATTCAATTTCAAATTAAGTCGGCACCTAATGAAAAGTTATTAATGAAGGCAGATAGATTTGAATTTTTTATATCTCTAATTAATAAATTAACAAATATATATTTCTAAAATCAATATATCTAAATGCGTGTAGTACATAAATACAAATACAAAGCTGTACCTGTACCCGTACAATTAAAGGTACATACGTATTCTTTCTTACATATAATATATTGCATCAGTATTTTTTTTTTCAATGTTAACCCTGATAACTCTCAGAGAGGCTCTAGCGATCGACTGTGGTGGCGGAATTCCATTTAAAACTGAATCCATATCTTACAAACTGTTATTTGGGTCCTTGCTTGCCAATCTGCCTGGCGTGCTCCGACGAGTAGGGAACTCTTTCATATTGAATGCAGGAACGCATTTTCGAAAATTCAACTGTAGATTAAAAAGACCTAAACACACGCATTGATCATCAGCTGCGGTGATCTTTGTTCGAGTACAACGAGGTTATATTCATGCAATAATTACATTATCATCGGTTATAGGCGTGCAAAATTTCAGATTGATCAGACGCCTAGAAGCAGGTGCAAACTGAAACACATCATTTTATTACTTTCGTACATACATATATACATACAGTGTTTCGTATGGTGAGTGTTGAGAACCGGAGACCCTTCTTACTGGAAACGAGGTATTCATCAAGACGAATATTCCGTCATAATCGAGAATACAAGTGAAGCTAAATAAAGCTTAATATGACGGCTTGGTCTTTCAGCCAATTTATATACGAATACAATACAAGAGAAAATCCTAGTGTGGGAGTCGTGTTTATAAAGGAAAAAATGTTGTAGGGTGGTGGCAGCGTGGGCGGCAGCATTCGGGTCGGCACCACGGAGTCGTGCGTGGAGGTGGGGGCGGGGGAGCTGGAGGACGGCGCCAGCGGGCTGCAGGTGCGGCGCGGCAGCGAGCCCACGCTGCAGGACACGATGCCGCAGCAGAGACAGGTACCTGTCGACAATTAACTAGCTCTTGTTAGAAAATATTTGCTACTATTTCCTTTATTCCTAACTATTTACTACTCGGAAGTAATTACTTTTGAATTTGCAATAGATATTATAATGTAGCCATTACACACGCCGAATATACTACTCGACTCTGACATTCGACATTCATAGATAAAATTATCATCACAGAAGAAGGAACCTAATTAAAACGTTTCGCTAGCTTTTGTTCAGTCCTTGACATAATATAATATGTACCTATATCGTAAGATTTGACGCAATGTCAGAGGCACGGAGGCAGTAGCTGTATATGGTATAGCCTAGAGCTTTCAATATTCGTTCAATTTTACTATTCGAATATTTCGAATAGTTCCCGACTTACTATTCGAATTATTCGAATATTCCAAACTTTTCGAGTTCTTTCTAATTAAGGAATAGCTTTTTTTTTTTTTTTTTTGCGCCCGAAGCAATTAAAGGGCTACCCTTACGTAGGGAGGCGGAAAATGCATTACGCATACCACGATAGCCGGTCTATCGTGGTTATGGGGGACTCACTGTCCTACCGGGGACCCTAAGTGATACCCCCTAAAAACCGCCTTTAGGGACAGGCAACCGGCTGATTAAGCTCTATTGTGCCTTATCATGAGCGACCCTCTTTTGGGAAAAGAGGGCGCAGGCGGCTAAGTGCCGCTGAGGGAGTGCCTACGAAGACAAATTAATGTCAGATATTACAATAATTTTATTTAATTAGAGTTGGCCTGAGCTGCCAGGAGACAGTTCAGGTCGTTTGAAAGTTTATTAGGCGGGTCCGAGAGAGAGTTTCTCGGCCTGCGGACACGATAGCGAGAGGGGGGGTGGGGCTGCATAAGAAGCTGCCTCACGAATTAAGTGGTTTGGGTGCGACTCTGAGGCTTTGAAGAAGTTCTCAGAGAGTTTTTTAAGAAATTGCTGAATTGTTGGGAGCTCTAAGTCCCGATGAAGGTCGGCATTGCGGACGTACCACGGTGCGTTCGCAGCTCGACGACAGAATAGGTTCTGAACTATTTGGAGTTCATTTAAAATGTTAGGGTTTGCGTGGGCAAAGACGGGGCCCGCGTAGGACATGACTGGTCGTATACATACCTTATAGAGTGTACGCTTGTTTCGAAGGGACATTTTACTGTGTCGGCCCAACATACTGTTGAGCCTACTCAGATAAAAACGTGCGTGACGGGTTACTCTTTTGACGTGGGGCTTGAAAGTGAGCCCTGTGTCTAGAGTGACACCTAAATATTTGGCGGACGTATGCCAGGGGACAGGGGTCCCTAGCATACGTATTGGTGGAGTGTTTTTGAGACGGCGTCGTTTATAATCGAAGTGAACGGCGGAGCTCTTCTCCGGGTTCACATCGATGCGCCATTTTTTGAACCAAGCTCCTAGGTCATCAACTGACTTTTGGATCTTGTTCCGTATGAAGGGTAGTGAGACACCTTTGCAGTAGATGGCAGTGTCGTCTGCAAAGAGGGAGAGTTGAACACCTTTCGACGGGATGGGAATGTCGTTGGTGAATATGATGTACAGCAGAGGAGCAAGTACTGAGCCCTGAGGGACACCAGCCTTGATAGTTCGCTGTGAAGATAGCGTGCCTTCGTGTCTGAAACGAAAGGTACGATGTTTTAAATAGGAGGCCACGAGACGAACTAGACGATCGGGGAGACCTATTTTATAGAGCTTGTAGATAAGGCCTGTGTGCCAGACTCTATCGAAAGCTTTGGCTATATCGAAAAAGACCGCGATGGTCTTATGACGACGAGGATAGAAACCGCTGAGGATATATTCCACAATGCGGTGAACTTGTTGGGGACATGAGTGTTTGGCTCGGAAGCCGAATTGATGGGGAATGATAAGAGGGTCGCCGTCTGTGGGAAACAGGTAGCGCCTCATACGACTTTGGATGACTCTTTCGAAGAGCTTGCCCATTGCCTTGAGGAGGCTAATGGGGCGATGGCTGGAGGGGAGGTTGAGAGGCTTGCCTGGCTTGGGAATTCCAATCACAGTAGCCTCTTTCCACGTAGTGGGAAAATAACTAAGGTTGAAGCAGGCGTTGAAGATAATAGATAAAAAGGTTAACACCTGCTCGGGAAAGTGTTTTAGGGCTTGGTTGGAGATGCCATCCGCGCCCGGAGCCTTTTTAGGCTTAAGTCCTTTGATGAGGGATGAGATCTCATCATTGGACACAGAGATAGGTTCAGAGGCCGTGGGGGGTGAGCTCCGGCGGCGGACCTCATCCTCCACTGCCTGGACGTGTGAGGGGTCGACGGGTTGAGAACTGGGAGAGCATTGAGCGGCAATGCTATCTGCAAAGCACTCAGCCTTTTCCTCGTCCTCGAAGGCAACCGTGCCGTCGGGACGGGAGAGAGGGGGAGTGTGGGTGATAGCGTCTATGCGGAGGGCTCTAGCCATCTGATAGTACGCTGTGTGAGATGGAGAGATATTCTCCATGAGCTTACTCTTTTCGAGATCTTGAAATTCAGAGAGGCGGAAGCGGAGTTTTCGTTGAAGACGATTGGCCGCGCGCCTATATTCGGGGGTGGGATATTTTGCTGCTCTCCGGAAAGCAGCTTTTTTGGCTTTTATTAGGTTGCTAATATGTAGGGGAAGCCCACTATTGTTAGCAACCGGGACGACCCTTTCGTTCTCCTTAAGGGAGGATTTAATAAGGGTGGAGAGTGAGTCGACCGCGGTGTCGATTTTTTCGGGACTATCTAAGTCCGACGATAGGGAGATGGTAGAGTCCTGTGAGTCCAGAGCTTTAGCTAGGGACTCTTTGAATCCCTTCCAGTTAGTGAAGGTTTTCGTGTGTGTTGGGGGAGGTGGCTGATGGCCAAGAATGAGGGAGACCGGTCGGTGATCTGATCCTAGATCGTCTAGTGTCTCGATTGCTCCGAGGTTGAGAGAAACTCCTTGGAGTAACGCAAAATCTAACACATCGGGGGCGTGATCGGTGTTATCGGGGGAAGTGAGTAACACCGAGAGGACTATGGACGGTAATATCAAGAGACTGCGTGATATCGAGCAGTATCTTGCCACTAGGGGACGTAGTGCGGCATGTCCATTCAGTATGCTTGGAGTTAAAATCTCCAAACATAATGACTGAGTTGCCTAAAGATAAAATGGCCTCAAAATCCTTTTTGAGGGGATAAGTTCCTGAAGGGATGTAACAGGAGGCTATGAGGATGGACTGATGTCCAGTCATAGCTAGCCTGCATACCGTGGCTTCCATGTTGGTAAGCTGCGGAGTAGAAATGGGCGAGCAATGAAGTGTCTTCTTGTAATAGATGGCCGTTCCGCCGCCTCGGCGGTCGGGTCTGTCGTTACGAAGAAGAGAGAAGTTTTTAATAGAAAGGCCTCTAGTGTCCTTATCCTTGAGATTGGTTTCCTGTAGGAGGAGGATATCGACTTCACGATTCCGAAGAAAGAGCTTGAGCTCTGGGAGGTTATTTCGCAAGCCGCGAATATTAAATGATACAAGCGATAAACCCTTAGGTTTGATACGACCGTGAGATCTAGGTAGGTTAATTCTCTCAGTCATTGAAGTTAAGTTAATTAAGTTAACCTAACTTACAACGCTAACAAAAGGTTATTGTGCTCCGCAAGAACGAGGAGACGTTCTTGGGGGGACTTGGCCGCGCGCAGTTTGCGTGATACAACTGTTATTTCCCTAACGTCGATATTCCTAATAGCGGAATATAGCGTGTTGTAGTCGTCGATTGTGGGCTCTGCTTCATGAGCGTACGAGGTTGTCCTCGGTGGGTCTGCCTTTTTGGGCCCCCAGGGAAAGACTGGAGGCTGCATTGGCTTGGAGAAGCCCGGAGGGGGGCCGAATTATGCCCTGAGGGGGGCCTAGGGGGGACCCTGAGGGGGCCTAGGGGGACCCTGAGAGGGTCGAGAGAAGCCCTGGATAGGCTGGGAGGGGCCCTGACGGGGCCGTTGATGGAGGGCTGGGAAAGTGCGGTCATTCACCGGCGGTGGAGCTTTCCTACTGGGGCGAGGTTGAGGTGCGCGTGGGCAACCCTTGTAGTTCGCCGGGTGTCCTGTCTGGTTGCACAGGACACAGGCGGGCGGGGATTCGGCGTCTTTGGGCCGGGGACACTCTTTAGTGTTGTGTGGCTCCAGGCACTTCACACACCTGGGTGGGGCGGAGCAGTTGGCCGCCGCGTGACCATAAAGTTGGCAGCGGTGGCACTGCGCCGGGAAACCGGGCCTATGTGGGGGCTCTACCTTCACCCTTGACAGGCCGCACACTGTGCGCACCTGCCGGAAGATGGCTTTAGCCTCCGGCACGTTGGACAAGATTACGAGGGCAAGGTTGTATCTCTTGCCCGTACGGTTGTGCATTTTGTGCACTGCTTCCACTGGGAAACCTTGGGACTTAAGGTCCTCGAGGATTTCCTCATTGGAGAACTCAAAGGGGACTCCTCGGATGACGGCCCTGACTTTACGCTCTTCAGGGAGAGCGTAAGTGTGGTATGAGATGCGCTCGGCTGTGAATAGCCGGGTGATTGCGCGGAAGTCCTCGATCGAGGTAGGGATTATTTTGATTGCCTCCCCGAGGTTGACTGCATGATCGTATTTGATGCCTGCGTCGTAGCAGGTCTTAGACAGTTGGGTGAACTTTGCCTTGTCTCTTAGGAAGACAGGGGGCGGGACTTGCTTCTTCGCCAGCACTGGAGCACAACGAGAGGCTGGTTTGGATGGAGTGGGGATGTCTAGTGACATCAGTGGGACGGGTGCAGCGTCAAGGGCTGCGGAGGTTGAAGGAGCGGCAGGGGCCGCTGAAGTAGGGGGGTGCGTTTCAACGCGGCGCGCTTTCCGTTGCGCTTGGAGGTGACGGTGGTGAAGTTTGACTCACCGGTTCCGTCAGAGTCAGAGGACTCCGATGAACCGGAGCCTAGGGTAGTGGCGGGCCTCTTCCGGGAGGTAGACGCCGAGGATTCGGAGCATGCGTACTCCATTTCTAAGGG